TTTTATGGTTTTACATATGAGCATTGGAAAATGGCTCTGGAGCGCCACCTATGCGTTGTTAAATGCAGTCCTACGAACACACAGTTTAAGCTACATGAATCAAATTTGGCCCACATGTGTATCATGCTGACACAAACAAAAAAGTCAGTGGGCCCATTGATGCAAACCCAACAGGAAGTCCGCCATTTTGGATTGAAGGTGATATTTTGGCTCCCATTTTGCCATTTCCAGGGCTTGTACTTTTGCGAACTCCTCCTTGGGATTTGATTGTATAAGCTTCATATTTGGTCAGTATCAACTACACACCTGGGCCATGTGAAATTGCGGAGCTTTTGAGTTTTTGGGAAATCGTATGGCCGTGGCGCCACAGTGAATTTCGATGATTCGCCATGAAAATCTTACTGTCTCTCTCATTCTGTCATACATTGTCCAATCTTGACCGAAGTACACACATATGATAAGGCTTCACCCCTGAACATATTTCAATAGCCATATTTGACATCAGGGAGAGCCCCACCTAGTGGGAACAGGAAATGTCCTGTTTTATACTTTGATATACTGATTTTGTGGTGGGTGACGTGTGCAGCCTCATATTTCTCCAGAAAAGCCTTAAGGAGTTGGCAATACATTGAAATGTGTGCATCTTCAGGAAAGGGTGTGACCCCAGCAGCATGGCGAACACTGATGTCTCGCCATGAAGAAACAAATTAGTATAACTCAAAGAAATCCAGTCTGATCAGTACCAGACATTACAGGCATGATGACAGACTTGCCCTGAATAGATTGATATGCCCATTGTTAGGAATACACAGAGCACCACCTAGTGGGAACAGGAAATGTCATGTCTTATACTTTGATATACTGGTAGGGATGGGTATTGATAAAATTTTCAAGATTCCGATTCCATTTTCGATTCTGTTTAACGATTCGATTCTTTATCGATTCTCTTATCGATTCTTTTTTTTTTTAAAAGGAGAACACTAAGGTCAATTAGCTTAGAACTTTGTTTTATATCTTCTCTTTGAACAAGATAGAAATTTAGGAGTAACATGGCCTTACAAACCCAACAGTGAGATCTTAAGAGATCCTTAAGAGATCCAGCCTATCGTTCTTCAATGGGGTGTCACGGGGTCCCCAGGAAAAAAAATTGTAAACGTAAAATAATAAAATAAATATTCTTCTGTAACAATAAAAAGTGTAACATAAATTATTCTGTAGCAATTACACAAGAATATCCAGTAATTTCCCTGCCTACAATTAAACACATTCACTTACCGAAAATCGAGGGCATCTGCTGTGGCACATGGGTGCAAGCCTTTTACCACAAACTTAGACACTGCTCGGTGACATTCGTATATACTGGCCTGAAAGGAGACGCTAACGGTAGACTGCAGCGAGAACTGCCAGCATCTGAGCCAACCAATTCGTCAACTCCTTCAAATGTGGCCGACAAATGCGTCCTTCATTTCCCCGAATTTGAAGGATGGGTCGGGTGTATCTTTCATGGCCCACCATATCCCAGCCAAATTTCAGCTGCCATTAATGGCAGCCGCTACTAAGTTTTAAAATTACTCTTATTAATCTTTCTGGGTCACAAAATAAACTTTTAACATATTTTCAGGCGAGAAAGAAGCTGTGTAAATTTCAAATATCTGCTTGGTTTATCAAGACATTGCATATTTGCAAAAGTGCGCCGACGTTTTTAGAGACGTCTGTTAGCCACCCACTGGATAGCAAGCCGGGGGGTTCAGTGGTCACTCGAGCCGGAGAGAGCAGTGGAATCGTGGCTTCGTCGTTTTCAGATCCCAGCTCTTTCGCTACTCAGGTTAAACATGATATATAAGTCACTCGGATAACTTAAAAATGTAATTGTTTGTCTTTTTTTCAGTGTTTTATTTGTTCCGGAGTAAATCGTTTTGGCTGAGATCAAAGTTATTAGATTATTAGATTAAATAAAATAAAATGTTATTAATCTATCTGGTGTGTTCCTCCGGGATTTTCACACAGCTGAATAAACATCAAACAGAAAACTGATTAAACAGAAGTGTCAGACGGTCGAGAATTTACGCCAGTGTCCTGTTATATTTTAGATAGCAACGAGCAGACGGCCGAGTTTATTAAACTCCACCGACACAGCGGTGACGCAAATCTGAAGGCTAGACCGTTCCGTTTCACAGCCTCACACTTCCGGCCTTCTCAGTCTTCGAAGGACCCAGCCCACGCAGTGTTGCCAACTCCTCAGTAAGGAAAATCGCTATTGGCTGTCCTAAAAGTTGCTAGAAGTCGCCAAATGATGTCATCGCCTAATTTGCATAATTGGTCATGCTAATGTAATTGTAACCTACGTTGTTGGAGAGAGAAATAACATCGTGGAAGACACATAAAGTGAGTAAAAAACATCCCAGTTAGAATTTATTTAGAACTACAAATTAAATTTCTTTTAGCAATTATTGTTTTTTAATGTCACAATTCCAACCCTGCTCCTTTATCCGGGCCTGGACCAGCAAAAGTGACCCGAAATTGGCACTCTGGTGGAGTTACTTTGTGTGTGAGTGTGTGTGTTTATAAGTAGTTTTAAACCTTGTGATCCACAAAACAGCATGACTGCGTTACAGTCAGTGCGGGAGCAGCGGCTTCGCTCATGCGCGATTCATTTGCAGTTGGGACGCACAGGTGTGAATGTCTCCTGCCCTGATAGCAGCTGGGGGAGGACTATACTCCGCCTGGGAGTGCTTTGGCACGGGCGAGGTGTCCAAGGCAGCACCGCTGCTTGTTGAGAGTAAGAGCGTGAAAAGAGCGTTTTCACGTCAAAAAGTCGTCATAAATAAGTCTCCAATAATAACAGAAAAAGTCACCAGATTTGTCGCTTTTTTAGAAAAAAAGTCGCTAAGGGGGTCTGAAAACTCGCTAAATATAGCGACAAAGTCGCTAAGTTGGCAACACTGAGCCCACGTAGACTGCGAAGGCCAGGTCCTCTGGAGGATGCAGCCGACGTTTTGGGACACAGCTTCTGTCTGTCTCTCTCATCATGGTCACCTAAATGCAGCGCACAGTAATGGCAGGTTTTGTAATAAGGCAGATCGCGCTAACATAATATGCACTGTTAGTTGATTATTTACCTGCCGAATTAACGGGAGAGGACATACAAACGTTACCGCTGCTGCTGGGTTGAGATTCATGAGTCCGGAGCAGAATTAAAAACACGACATTCATTTAAGGTCATCGCGTGTTTTGTGAGCAAATGCTTTTGCATATTCGTAGTGTTTCCTCCCTTAAATGAAATATCTACTATCTAACCGTTCTTGTAAAGTATAACCAAACTTTTGAGCGTTTGAGCCACTTAGTAAATGACACTCTGCAATGTGGTGATGTCATTCGGGGTGACTAGAATTGATAAGGGAATCGTTTGCAAAAATGGCAAACAATTCCAAGGAATTGAAACAGTGGGAACCGGTTCTCAACAAGAACCGGGTTTCGATACCCATCCCTATATACTGGTTTTCACAGGTTCATCAGGTCCACCTCAAAAGCGGTGAATATTAACATCAGTCCCTCATGATGCTTCAGTGAGACAATTGTGAGTTTAAACTTAATGGCGCACCCTGGTGGCAAGGTGGTTCACCATGAAAGATGAAGTGGCATTTCAAATTCAAATTTTATTTTATTTGTCACGTACACAGTCATACACAGTACGATATGTAGTGAAATGCTTGGACATTTGAGGGGCTTAGAAAGCTCAAGAACTCTTGAAATTTGGCCCACACCTCCAATGTGATGAAGACTTTCTTGTTATGTGATCAGCCATGTGAAGTCAGCCATTTTAAAATTAATGTGTAATTTTGGTGACATTTTCCCCTCTTTTCAGGCCTCGTACTTTGACAAACTCCTCCAAGGAATTTTAATCAGATCGAGATGATCTCCAGTGCAGGGAATCTAAAGACCTTTGTGATGTTAAATTGCGAAGCTTTTTACGTTTAGGGAAACGGGGTGGTCATGGCGGCACGTGGAGTTTCAATCACTCGCCAAAAAGCAGTAATCTGCTGTCACTCAAAAACACAATATCCAATCTCTCCCAAATTTCACAGGCATGAGTCAAGAGTCAAGCTCGGAAATATTTGACAAGCAATTTATCAGTAATGGTTAGAGCGCCACCCAGTGGGACGACTATAATTATCATTGAACGAAATGAAATTTTAGCTGGTGGTTCTACGCATGAATTCCATTAATGTGACATCAGATCGGAAATGCTTGGTGTAGGTGGTGGGCATGGCTCGATGCGCTGGGGTGTGAGGGCCCTCATAACGCTGCTTGCAGCTTTAATTTCAATGTTGCTTCTATATTTTATATATTTGTTGCTTATTATTATTATTATTATTATTATTATTATTGTTGTTGTTGTTGTTGTTGTTGTTGTTGTTGTTAGTAGTAGTAGTAGTATTAAAGTTCAATATTAAAATTCATTGTATTCCATACTCCGTGTTATCTCATTTTTGTTTGTATTAGTGAAGGCTACAAATGATCTTCTTATGGCCTCTAGAAAGAGAGACCATTTTTCTCTCATACTCCCTCTCTTCCTTGGCTCTCTGTTAAATCAAGAATTGTATTTAAAATCCTTCTCTTCACATACAAGATCTTACTTCTTGTTCCTAGAGTATTTAAAAGTAGAATGGGAGGCAGAGCATTCAGGTTTCAGGCCCCTATTCTGTGGAAGCAGCTTCCAGTTTGGATTCAGGAGGTAGACACTTTCTCTACTTTTAAGATTAGGCTTAAAACTTTCCTTTTTGCCAAAGCATATTACCCATGATGCACTGACATGTTTAAATAACTATTTATATTTTTTCAAAATAAATCCTGTTTACTTATCTCCAAAATATAAGGGCAGCATTTGGAGCAAGAAGTCATCACCAATATTGAGTGAAACCTCAGAGGTTTAATTATATGATTAATATTCAAAAGTATTTTAATTAGTAATTAGTAGGCTGCTAATTCTCTGTTCGTACCTGAGTGTTTCCAATTGGCATTGTCTATCCTTCAGGCCAAAAGAAAGGAGAGTCACGCCTTGGTCTCCTGGATGATTGTAGCTCAGGTCCAATTCTCTCAGATGGGAAGGGTTTGAACTCAGAGCTGAGGCCAGAGCAGCACAGCCTTGTTCTGTGACTTGACAGCCTGATAGCCTGAAATTGAGTCAGTTATTTTTTTCTGAAGTTACAAACTTCCTTACAAATTTAGGTAACAGATATTTGAAAATGACACAAATAAGAAAATGAAAAAGATAGCAGATAGTACCTTTGTATACCACTGTACTCCACAAGTAAGTCCAGTTACATTATTAATAAATCAAATCAATCAAAGAAATGAAATAAAACTACATGAAAGTTGTCCAATTTGATGATAAAAATCATAAAGTAATATGTAATGTCACTTTATCATTTATAAATGAGGAAACTGTGGAGTCCTGACCTAAGAGTTTGAAGTACACAGTGATTACTCTCCAGTCCAGCAGATAAAAGTTGTACTCCTGAATCCTGCAGGTCATTGTTGCTCACATCCAGTTCTTTTAGATTTAAGGACTGTGTGCTGATAACTGTAGAAAGAGTTTCGCAGCTTCTCCATGACAAGTTACAGCCAATCAGCCTGTTTATAAACAAACCATTAGACATGTTAAAATAACAATGATTTTTAAATTAGCACAAAAAGACAGACAGAATTGATGCAAATCAACATCAACTACAGATTGACACTTTTTCCCATAAGGCCAGTTAAGTCTGGATAGTTTTTTTTTACCTTAATAAATTCAATTAGCATTTAAAAACCTGCAGATCTTTTTAGCTTTGTCTGATATAAAAATGTGTTTGATGATCTCAAATATTTAACTAATACTAAAAAACTAAACTAAAACTAAAACAATAGCCCACAAAACCAAAGAGAAATTAAGACATGTATGCAACACTGTATGTTGCAATGAAGAAGAAATTTGAATAGTAATTAAATTTACCAAGACTAAGAATAAAATATGCCGCGAAACATAGACGAGCATCAGCCAACACTAACATTCCTGACCTGAGAGTTTCCAGTTGACAATGTGGACCCTCCAGTATGGTAGAAAGCATCTTCACTCCTGAATCCTCCAGGTTGTTGTTGCTCAGGTCCAGCTCTCTCAGACAAGAGGACTGGGAGCTGAGCACTGGAGACAGAATTTTTACACTTTTCTCTGACAGGTTACAAGAACTCAACCTGCAAAATTAAACAACAACAGAGAAAACCATTGAAAACATATTTTAAAATCATCATATGAGTATCAATAGTAGCTAACCAATGACTTTTAATAGATATCACAGCACTTACAAAGCTTTGTTGGAGGCTTTAACCACAGGCAGTAGCTTCAGAAGAACCTCCTCTGAAGCTGAATATTTCTTCAGGTCAAAGACATCCAGATTTTCTGATGATAATAATATGAAGACTAGAGCTGACCACTGAGATGGAAATAGATCATTCGTGTAAAGATTTCCTGAACTCAATGACTTTTGGATGTCCTCCAATAGAGAATGATCATTCACTTCATTCAAACAGTGAAACAAATTGATGCTTTTCTCAGAAGGGAGACCATCATCAAGCCTTTCCTTGATGTACTGGACTGTTTCCTGTGAGCTACTTCCTGTCTTTCTCAGTAGGCCTTGTAAGAGAATCTGATTGGTCTCCAGTGAAAGACCCAGAAGGAAACGGAGGAACAAGTCCAGGTGTCCATTTGGGCTCTGTAAGGCCTTGTCCACGGCCCTCTGGTGGAGATTAGATTTACTTCTTGAAAGTCTAGAAATCCAGGATGATTGTTGGAGTTCGTCCAGCAGATTGAGTCCAGAACTGAAAAAGGTCATATGGACATACAGAGCAGCCAGAAACTCCTGAACACTCAGGTGGATAAAAGAAAACACTTTGTCCTGGCGCAACACTCTCTCCTCTTTAAATATCTCTGTAAAAAGTCCTGCATATACTGAGGCACTTGTGACATTGATGCCACAGTCTTTCAAGTCTGATTCATAAAAGATCAGGTTGGCTTTCTGTAGCTGCTCAAAAGCCAGTTTTCCCAAAGACAGAATCATCTCCTTGCTTGCTTGATTCCACTGTGGATCAGCATCAGTTCCTCCCTGATGCTTGACCTTCTTAACTTTGGCTTGAGATATCAAAAGGTGGATGTACATCTCAGTCAGGGTCTTGGGCAGCTCATCTTTATCTTTAGTTTTCAACATATCCTCCAGAACTGTAGCAGTGATGCAGCAGAAGACTGGAATGTGGCACATGATGTTTAAGCTCTGTGAAGTTTTGATATGAGAGATCATTCTGCCAATAAGCTTCTCATCTCTGAATTTCTTTCTGAAGTAGTCTAGTTTTTGAGCATCAGTGAACCCCATAACTTCTGTCACAATGTTTACATACTCAGAAGGGATCTGATTGGCTGCTGCAGGCCGTGTGGTTATCCAAAGGCGAGCAGAAGGAAGCAGATCCCCCCGGATGAGATTTGTCAGCAGCACACTGACTGAGGTGGATTCTGTAGCATCAGTCAGGATCGCAGTTTTGTGGAAGTCCAGAGGAAACCGACACTCATCCAGACCATCAAAGATGAACACAACCTTAAACCCTTCAAAGCTGCAGATTCCTGCTTCTTTGTTTTTAGTAAAAAAATGATTCACAAGTTCCACCAAACTGAACTTTTTGTCTTCCAGTACATTCACCTCTCTGAAAGTGAATAGAAATGTTAAGTGGATGTCCTGGTTGGCTTTGTCTTTAGCCCAGTCCAGAGTGAACTTCTGTGTTGAGACTGTTTTCCCAATGCCAGCCACTCCCTTTGTCAGCACTGTTCTGATTGGTTTGTCTTTAATGGGTGAAGCTTTGAAGATGTCTTCACATCGAAGTCTTGTTTCTGGTCTGTCTGGTTTCCTGTGTGCTTTTTCAATTAGTCTGATCTCATGTTCCTTGTTGACCTCTTGGCTGTTTTCTATTTTGAAGCAGACCTCTGTGTAGGTCTCATTTTGAAGCTTAGATTTACCTCCTTTTTTAAGTTTTTCAGCTGATTCCTGAAACTTTTTCATCAGGTTGGATTTGAGGTTTTTCTGGAACTCAGCAAAACCCTCTAAATAAACAGTGAAATGGTAAGAGTAGATGTGAGTAAATGTCAGTTGTGAAAAAATAGGGTACATTTATGTAATTGTGATAGTTGTCAATGGAAAATAAGCAGAATATGGTTAGGATGGCAAGGAAAGGTTCTTAGCAAAAAACAGTAATTACCCAAATTTCTGTAGCGGTTTTGTTCATCAACATTAAAATATAACTGTCATGTCCATGAGTGTGGTAAGTACATTTCATATCAAAGCAATTAATAGGTCCTATTCTTTATTATTCTTTTCACCTCGCAAACCCACTATTGCCATTTCTTGCTATCGTCTCAGATCTACCATCTGTGTATTAAGGTAAAGAACAGCATCTGAAATTATCAAGTCCATCTCTATGCCATGGTTCATAACAAACTGAAAATGTAATAAGATACATTTTCTGTCTGAATTATGGTCATCACAAAGTGCACCTCATACCAGGAATCATTCTCATATGAGTGTTAATCATTCAATGACTTACCTGCTTCAGGTTCTGCATTTGGGTCAATTAAAATCTGCACAAGGTCATTCCTATCTAGCTTCCTCAAAACCTTTTTGGTGACCTCAAGCACGTTTTCACAGTATGTTTGCAGCATCTGATCCACTGTGTCTGGCCTGTCTGCCTTATCTAGTCTGCTCTTTGGGATTATTGGGAAGCGTTCCAGGACGTCAGACTTTTGCAGGTACCACTTGAACTCTTTTAACTCGTTGTCTCCCAGATCTTTCAGTGCTCTTAGGAGCAGCTCTTCACGTGTTGAATTTGACATCATGTTTCCCTGCCAAAATCAAAGAAAATCGCACGTCTGAAACAGTTCTATAATTGCTGGGGTGATTCACTGCAGCTGTAATTATTCTTTTTTATATTACTACTTTGTTCAAACTAAAGGTAAGTAGCATCAGGACGCCATAAAAATTACAAAATAAAAGTTGACTATAAACTTGTTGTCCCTTTTAAAGGGGACAAGAAAAGGAAACTCTCAGGTGTCACAAGGAAGGACCAGCAGAAATACTTCAGAAACAAATGTGTGATGCCAAACCTGCAGATATCTAAAGAAGGAGAGTGAGGGTTTAGCACAGATTCTTTCCACCATGAATCAGAAATCCTAACTTGGACTTGCTATGTTGTCAAATATTAGAAGAAACCCTCTGTCAATCCACTGGAAATTCAATCTCCCAGGAATACAGTGGAATTCCAAATCTTCTGAAGGTTTTACCCAAAAGGGAATCAGAGGAAATTTTTGGAAGTTGTAAGCCAGCAGGAAAACATTGAAAATCCAAATCTTCTTGAATCTACGATCTAACATGGCAAAAATGAGAACAGAAAAAGCCAAAAAATGGTGATTTTTTGGCAGGTTCAAGGTGATTTGCAGGTTCAAAGTTTGGACAGCAGTTGATCCCACGGTTGATATCAGATCATCACATTAAATCACCCGATTTCCAGCTGCACCTTATCATCCTCTATCTGTCTGACTTTTCTTTCTTTTGGTTTAAAGAAAAGTTTCAAACGTTTCAACTTTAAATTTTCACTTCAATACATGTTCTTCTTTTCTATGTTGTACTTAACATAGAAATGTTAATAATTTCATCACAAAAGAGATTATGTTAAAATGAATGTTCATTTAAAAATGAGCTAATGATAAAGTTGATGAATGATGAAGTTAAATTGGATAAACTGAATGAAACATAGTATAGTATATTCATATGTAATTGAATTGTAATATCAGAATCAGAATTAATAAAGTATTCTGATTCTGAATATACTTCATGTTTCATTCAGTTTATCCAAATTGACGTCATTAATCAACTTTATCATTAGCTCATTTTCAAATGAACATTCATTTTAACATAATCTCTTTTTAACTCAAATACAGAGGAATACTTCTCCCTCTGTGTTTGTCAATCACATTATAGCCAAAGCAGTTTCTTTTAATAAATCGTGCATTTCATAGTCAGACATTCTTTTTAGTAGTCCAACCTAGAAGTAATAAATGCATGAACTAGTTTTTCAGTGTCACTGAGACAGGATATTTCTAATTTTAGAGATATTGCATAAATGGAAGAAAGCAGTCCTACATATTTGTTTAATATGTGCATTGAAGGACATATCCTGGTCAAAAATGACTCCAAGTTTCCTCACAGTGCTACTGGAGGCTAAGGTAATGCCATCCAGAGTAAAAATCTGGTTAGATACCATATATCTAAGATTTTCAGGGCCTAGTGCAATAACCTCGTTTTATCTTAATTTAGAAGTAGAAAGTTAGAGGCCACCCAGGTCTTTATGTCTTTAAGACACTGATGCAGTTTAACTAATTGGTGTGAGTTATCTGGCTTCATGGATAGATCAAGTTGGGTGTCATCTGCATAGCAGTGAAAATGTATGCTATGCATGTATAGTGTAAACAGAATGGATCCTAGCACTCAACCCTGTTGAACTCCATAATTAACCTTAGTGTGTGAAGAGGACTCTCCATTTACATGATCAAATTGGAGTCTATTAGATAGATATGATACAAACTACTGCAGCGTAGTACCTGTAATACCTACAGCATGCTCTACTCGCTCTAATAGCAGTCAACAGTATTGATTATATGGCCAACCATATTGAACGCTGCACTGAGGTCTACCAGGATAAGCACAGAGATGATTCCACTGTCAGAGGCCATAAAAACATCCTTTAGAATCTTCACTAAAGCAGTTTCTGTACTGTGATGGGCTCTGAAATCTGACTGAAACTATTTCAAGAATTTTTGAGATGAAAGGAAGGCTAGAGACTGGCCTTTAATTAGCTAAGACCACTGGGTCTAGAGATGGCTTTTTAAGTAATGGTTTAACTACTGCCAGCGTGGTACATAGCCGATTATTAGACATAGATTGATCATATTTAAGACTGAAGCATTAATCAATGGTAGGACTTCTTTGAGCAGTCTTATAGGAATGGGGTCTAAAAGACACGTTGATGGTTTGGAGGAAGTAATTACTGAAGTTAACTCAGAAAGATCAATTGGAGAAAAGGAATATCAGTGGTACTGAAAGTAGCTATAGATAATGCTATGTCTGTGAAATGATTATGAGTAATTTTCTTTTCACTCTGACTTTTTGTCAGGCTGTCTACAGTGCTGAAGAGAAACCTAGGCTGGATATTATTTTCTTCAATCAGTGATGAATAGTAAGATGTTCTAGCAAAAAAGTGCTCCATAAAGGAGGAATTTTTTACCGAGCAACAAACTATTTCCTGTTAGGGGCTTTGTCTGTGACCCAGCGTTATAAGTTTATTTTGTGTTTTTTGATTCCTTTGGTTATATTGGAAATATGTTAAGTTCTTGTGTGGTTATTATTAGTTAGGATTTAGTTGAGTTTAGTCTAGTTTATGTTTCTCCTATTTGAGTCTTTTCCTATGTGTCATGTGTTCTCTCCTCGTCTATGAAGGTTCCTCTTGTGTCTCTCTCCTCTGTGTCCCTCTCCCTCTCTCGCTGCCTCTCTTTGTCTCTTGTCTCAAACTTCTGTGTTCCAGTTCATGTCTCTCCAGGTTTTCTGTTTTATTTTGAAAGTCTTGTTTCTATGTTTAATGTGCTTAGTTTTACTTTTCCCTTTGGTGTCATGATTATTTGTGTCAGCTGTGTCTCCGCAGGTATTTCCACTTCCCTCATTACCCTCCTGTGTATTTAGGTCCTCTGTCTCCCTCTGTTTGTTGTTGGTGCTTCTGTTTTCCTCCGTCCATGTCAGGTCAGATTCTGGGTACCTCATAATTCTGTTCAAGTCATATCAAGATTCATGTTCACAGTTTTTTTTTGTCAGAGTTACTCTTGTACTCCTGCTCAGAATCATGCTAATGTGTTGTTTTTCATAGTTTACACAGTCTAGCTTTTCCCAGTTTAGGTTTTTTGTTTTGTCCGCGTCCATTTTGCCCTTTTTTATATTCATGTTTTTCGGCCAAGTAAACAGCCCATTTTTTGTTAAGATTCCGTTTCATGTCTACAATTGGGTCCACTCCACAAACACACCGGATGCTCAGACATAATATTTCCAGACTGAAGGATGATCTTTTAAATTGTACATTTGAGAATTATACCAGGAAGTCAAGTACTTCTGATTTGAGTCATACGTAGTGAGGAGGCTAAATTATTAACAAGATAAACAGCCTCTGTTAGAGTAGCGTTCAGGTAGCTGCTCTGCTCTATATTGGTACAGGGCATAGAAGATGCTAACAGTGGGTGCATTATATTCTTAAACTTAGTTACAGCACTTTCAGAAAGACATCTACTGTGATGAAGTCTACTCTCCACTGCTGTGTAATCGATTATTGTAAATTTAAATGTTATCAGGAAATAATAAGAGGAGAGAGGATTTTCAGGAAACATTGCTAAATGTTCAGCTTCTATGCCATATGTTAAAACAAGATCTAAAGTGTGATTAGAGATGATGATGAGAGATGACACAACCGAGATGACAGACCTTGCCGACCGTACATACAATACACAAACATCACATTGGGGAGACAGCTCAGGCTAGGTAGCGAGGAAAAAAACATCAAAATGTGTAACACAAAGGGATAATACAGGAATGCACAGATATCAACACACCATAGTACAATAAACACAGACAAGCAACATGGGAAAGTGTTCCAGTGTGTACATCTGATCTGGGACCGCTGCAATCTTCGACTGCGCCTCCAGCTGACCCGATGTCCACATCAGAAGGGAGGTAAGCGTTGGAGGTGGCGTTGGATCCGGGGTAGGGAGGGTGATGCGTCAGTGAGTGCTTATCAGTATCAGTATATGTATGTGTGTGCGTGTCCATAGTTCAGCTGAGACAGTGTCCTTCGCCCTGCCAGGCTAAGTAAACAGTCTTCCAGCCAACCCAGGTGGCCTTGCATGGAATGGGAAGGAACAGACTCAACACAGTCGTTATCAGGGAGTTTTTGTTCAGCTACAGCCTTGAGCCCACTGCTCGTGCCGAAGGGGTAGCCAGATTATGATGGTATTTTTCTTTTGCAACAACTCATGAAAATTTCAAAGCTGTTCTTTAACACTCCGACACTGGTCTCTCAATCTCCCATTGGAGAACCGCGAGCTTCCCCATGACGTTATCAAAGTTGCGTTCCGTGGTGTTGTCATTCTTTTGCTCAGAGAACCGATTCTGAGAACTCACGACTGCAGTGAGCTGTTCCACGATGTAATCCAACTTTCACTCAAAGGTGTTATTCTGAGCAGGCCTCTCCTTGATGTAATCCAATATACGCTCAGAGGTGTTATTCTGAGTATTCACAGCAGCTGTAAGCATCTCCAAGGTCTTAACCATGCTGCTCTCAATGAGCCCGTTCTGAGAAGTCGCGCCTCCTCCCATCGTTTCAATCCCAGCGGGCAGCCTTGGGGGGTGTATAAACAGCCGGTTCCGCTTTTTTAATTCTCCGATAAGCCAGGGCCAAGCCAGCTCCGATCAGCAAGAACCCTGTTATCATGGTTCCGAATAGGTAGATATCTTCAGC